ACCCTAAACCACCACCCCCACACTCCCACCCCGTCACCGCCACTCCAGCCCCTTAACCCCGACCTACATACCACTCTCCCCGTCCTTACTTATTTCAACTCATATAGTGTTTGTTTGAATTATATATTTTCAAAAAAAAATATTGTCTAACCAAACACCGCCAAAATAAGTAAGAATCACTTATTTTCCAAGAAAAATATTTTACTTCAGACCAAACACAATTAAGAGATCAATTTCGCCCTAAACTTGATTTATAGCTCATTGATAAATCAATTTGTTTAACCATAGGAAATCAACCTTATAACTCGATCAAACAAATGATAAGTATGACATTTAAATGAACATTTAAAGAGAAATATTTAGCATATTATCATTTCAAAGAAATCTTTAACAATAGTATCCACAAATACAAACAGGAGTAGGAGGATCAATTGGATCCTGTATACAACCTGCACCAAAAAAATTATCTTTATATTCCTCCTTACAACTAGGCGTACAATCATCGTTCACTTTGCATGTAACGTTGTAAATTGGAGCGGCGCATTGCAAATCAGTAACTTGATGATCTTGAGCAATCGTCAACCTGAGAATGTACATACTCGTGACGATAAAGAGGAGGTAGTAGTAAACTGAAATTTTTGCCATTTATACTTTTGATTTTGCTTGTGTTTTCGAGAGAGCGTACGCTATCAATTGCCGTGCTATGGTTACAATATATACGTAGGAGTGAAAGATTGTTATTATCCGGTGAAAATGAGTCAAAGATTTTGTAATCCAGTGGATATTGCATTATTTTAGGAGATAGGGTTTTCAACAAACTTCTATTGCCTAGAAAATATTTAGATAGTTTTTCTAATAAAAGATTATGTGATCCAGTTTTGCATATATGGTTTATTTTATTTCTTTAATTTTAGATAAATAGTTCACTCCGTTCTTGGTCATAGACTACACAGGAAGCATAAATTCGTTTTGTAAGAAGATAAATTAGACTAATAAGAGTAATTGTTAGAAGTCGGGAAACCAAAATAAAACGTATTAAGTGGAAAAATTCCAAAAGAATTTTAACATCAGAAGCTGATTACTTGGTCTCGCAATTCGCAAATACCAATTTTAGTACTAGTTATCTTGCCGTATAGGAAGGTTGAGAGGTGATAATTCTAGAAATAGAACATGTGGTGGAGTATGAATTTTCACTAACGAAGTAAGTATACGAAAAAATCAAGAAATTTAACATGTAATATGTGTATGTAAAAACATATTTTTATCAAGATATACAGTGTTAGTTTATGACGAATGAATAGCAATTGACACCCTTTGGACAAAGATGGCCCCGCCACCGAATAGAATATATGAGTAAAAGGTTCAGAATAATTATCTTATTTTTTATATAAATTGGTTCTATTTATTATTGATGATGTCCAAAACACACCTCTATAAGAGATATGTCACGGTCTTATGCAATATAATTTACCCATCTATAAGTCGGGGTCGAATCCCACATGGAACTATGAGGCGTTCTAGTTTACTCAATCACTAAATAATTTAAATTGAGCAAAAAAAGACAAATATACTTGGATTTTGTGGATATTAACTAATGAATTAGATTCAAGTAACTAACAACAAACTAAACTAGAAGTCGAGAATAACTTAAGAAATTTGCAGATAATAAAAAGGCCTAAGGTAGAGAATTCCCCAATTGTCGGGCTAGCTCTGAGTGAAATCTTGAATCTTTGTTTGACATTATTCTATCAACCTTGGACCTAAAGTCATTCGCTAGAGTTTCCCAACTACTAAGGACATCATTCTTGACTATTTTTTTCAAAATAATCAAGATAATAAACTCGTTCAATTCTAGGTCAATGTCAAATCATGATGTCCCCATAATGATTCTAAATCGGGTTAAGTAATTCCTTAACTCAACCCGAAGTGCTGTTGTTTGACTGACCCAACCTTGTCAATCTTCACGAGAATACTAAGAAATAGGGCTTAAACAATTGCGAGCTCAAACAATTGAATTCGTTAAAATCACAGCCAAACAAATAGAATAAGTATCAACGATTCAGGAATCTTTACTCAAAACCACCCAACAACGGGTTCAACAATAACCTAGATAGGGAATTTAGCTACTCATGTTTATACTAAAATATATAATGACTATTATCAAAACAATATCCATAACAAACGAAAATAAAAAAAAAAAGTTGAGAGAAACTCTTCAAATCTTCGATCAGGATGGTTTTTGGACTCTTCAAAGCCCTTCCTTGAAGTAATGTTCTCTTCTTTCCAGTTCGTGATTATGGCTGGCAGCCAAAAAGATATTTTTATATCGTGTAAAATTTGCTCCAAAGACCAAAATATCCTTATAATATTTGCCCAGAAATTCTGCTCGCATGCTAGGCTAGCTCCGCGCGCGCACCGTGTGCTTTGCATATGACCTTGTCCAGATGAGCGCACACCGAGCGCACATTAGAGGGAAAATACGATATTTTTGCACTTTGTCTTTTTCTTCAATTTGAGCAGATTTTCGTCCCAAAACTTCAAAAATTCCTTCAATTTTTCTTTCGACTCCCTATCAAAGAGCATCAATTAGGCATATTTTTGGTGAGTTTTAACCACTCAACTATTCAAGAACAATTGAGAATAAGGTTAAACTACTATTAAAATGTAGAGAATTATGCCAAATATCACTACCCTACACTTAGGCTTTTGCTCGTCCTCGAGCAAAGAAGAGAAATGGTTCAATCTTAACACATAAGCAGTCAAAACCAGTTCAAAACTTCTCAACAAGCAAATTCCGCTGAGATCAACCATGAAATTCAGAGACCTTTTCTTTTACTCATACTCACACTTCGAAAATCGAAACTTCATGACCATACAAATTTCATTGTATCTTACAAGCAAAGAAGTGCCCAAAACTCACACATCATGTAGTTAATCACATAACAATGGGGCAATTAACAGTCAACAACTCTCACACTCAACAATGAATTTCACATGCACTTGAAACAGTACCATAAGCTTGCCCATTTTGTCGCTATCCACTAATATAGGCAACTCA